CTTACGGAGAGAGCAGAGCAATGCCTGGGAGAATGGCAGGTCTGAAGAAACAGTGAGCTGGGCCTGACAATCTGGACTTAAGTAAACTGTATTTTCTGGCTGGGGACGATAAGACATAAATTTGAAGCGTGTGTTACACTTATACATCATTATGCCCCGAAACAGGGAAGGAGAGCTGCATCTTGTCCCAGGTTTGTAGCGAAACTGTGTAATGTGTAAATAGCTCTCAGGCCTTTGATGTTGAGCAGAGAGGAAAATAATCCTCTCGGAAACACCAGGCAGGAGCCGTGGGCGCAGCAGCACAGGCAGGGAGGCTGGCAGAGGCGTGCAGCCAGGACGGACCTGCTGTCTCTGAGCCCTTTCTCCTACCCCCAAGAAGGTAGACTCTTAGTTCCCAGAGGAATTATTTCCCCTAATGCCTTCCTGCAGAAGCAAGCAAAAATGCTCAGGTACAGTGAAGCGGGAAGCTGAGAACAGCCTCAGCAGAGAAAGGGAAGGGAGAGAGGATGGTACACGATGTCAGGTCCACCTCCTGCCAGCAAGACTGACCAGCCCTGAAGGGCACCTCCCAGAGGTGGGCTAGGTGCTAAGGGTTGGCAGTACCTTGCAGTCCCCTCCTTCATTCAACAAACACGGTCCCTGCACTTGCAGAGCTTACAGTGGAGCGAAGATATGGCCAACAAATAACCACATGAATAACCACCTAGTTACACACTTTACTGTGCACTATAAAGGGGCAAAACGGGAGATATGAAGCTGTGAGACAAGACATACCGATTTAAACGGAGGCTGGGAGCAGGGCCATGGGAGTGGTCAAGCGAGGCCTCTGAGGAAGGCAGGAAGGCAGACCGAGGGTGTGCTGGGAACATTCTAGACCAAAGAAACAGCACTCAGAAAGGGCCTGCAGGGGGAAGAGCTTGTTGCACATTCCAAGAACTGCAGAGGCTGGGTGCTAGAGGCATGTGACAAAAGGGAGGATGGGACACCAGGCCAAACCACACAGGGCCCCCTGCGAGGATTTAGGGACTTAATCCTAAATGCGCCGGGAAGCTGCAGAAGGATGTCAAGCCCCTTTATGGTGATCGCAACTCAAGAAAGAACATGGCCATCATAGATCATCATGTGGCCATCGCTATGGCTATGGTCACCCTCCAGCTCCCTGCCCTGCAACTCTGGTCACCACCACCCTGACCGAGCTCTGATGCGCATTGGTTCACACTTGGCAAGTGTGTGTGCTTGCTCCAGCACCCCCTTACCCCTCCTGCCCCTAGAAGAAGATGAAACTGACACCCAGGCCCCTGCAGGAGCCACCCCCTGGGCCTAGGATAAGTATCAGGCCTGGTGAGGGGGCAGCCAAGGATGGGGAGTGAGTCTCTATCACTGTCACCATGGAGACTCGTCTGATCCCTCCTCTGGAGGGGTATGCACGAGGCTTCAGTGGTCCCAGCCCAGTGTTCCACACAGAGCAGGCACTGTGTCAGTAACCAGCTAAAGGTGGCAATCCTCCAGAGCCCCCATCTTCTGTTCCAGGCAGGGAAGCAGAGGGAGACTGCTATAAAGGAAGTTCAGACTGAACCCAGAGTCTGGTCCCAAACAGATAGGTCTTTACTTCACTGCCACAGGCAAGTTGCCTCCTCCCTCCCAGGCCTGCGTTTCCTTCCCCATGAAGTAAGGTGGGTCGGTGAGATGGTCTGCAAGAGCCCTTGGAGCTCCCGCACCTTATCATCCCCCTCAGAAGCTCACAGAGGGTTGATGCCCTCTCCCGACACCACCCACCCAGCATATCTGGGATCACAGACACTGGGCTGGGATCACCGCTGACCCGGGAGTATGGGTCATATTCTAACTCCAACCCAATATTCTGGAGTTCAAGTACCAAGTTGTTGCGGGGCGGGGGGTGGAATTTGCAATAATCTGGTGCGAAGCTGAAATGTACTTTTCCTTATGACTCTCCTCATATTAGATAGGCAGTTAACATTACCAATCAATTTTGGAACCAACAAGCATATTTAGTAGATCTACAAAAAAAATTATATTAGAACACCCAGAAGTCACTCCAGATGTGTTCAACCCCTTGCAAAAGATTTGCTAACTATAAGCTTCTCTCCTCTGTTCATTACAGTGGTCCCGGAGAACATCTCTCCAGGAGACACATTCATTAGCCAAGTCCAGTTGCTACAGACAATAGCAATGATAAAGTTCAGTTTGTTTGAAAAATCATGTTCTAGCTTTCCTCCTCCACCAGGAAACTGAGGGGGTAGGGCTAGGCTGTCCTCAAATAGTGCAGCTGGTCAGGGACTCAGACATTTTATACAGTGAAGAAAACGTGTACTCTGATGTCTTGCTGGTGCTTTCCACAGGTCCTGAAGGCAGGTAACAGGGTTTATACTTCTTTGCAATCCCCATAATTATTGTGCATAGGAGGAGTACATGCATATGACTATTGGTTGGCTGATGGAAAAAGCAAGGCACAGAGTAATAGGATAAGGCTCAGAAAGGTCCCAATGACAAAGACCCAGGGGACCACAACCAGAAAAAGCATATGTATTAGACATTCATAGATTTCACATCTCAGTATCTCTACTTAATAGCTGTGTGACCTTAGGCAAGTCACTTAGCATCTCTGGGCCTCGGTTTCCTCCTCTGCACAATGGGAGCAGCAATATCTAGAGCGGTCATGGTTGCAAGAGTTAGGTGAGTTACATGAGTACCTAGCAGAGTATCTGGCACATCGTAGAGGTCTCTCTTCCTTCCTCTCATCTGGCCTTCAAGGTCTGCATGAGAAAGAGAGCCTCCAGCATCTGCCCCTGCTATCTACCTGCCCCCACACTGAAGGATGGGAAGCCAGAGACCCCATCCCCATCCCTGTGGCTTCCATGCTGCAGGAGGGGACAGTTCAATGGAACATGGCCAAGGAGGGGTCTGGGCCCAAACCTCAGTGGCTGCAGGAACCCAATACACGTGGCCTGGCTCTCTTCCAGCCAATTTTGCCAGATGTAATTTGGCTTCAGCTCAAGACTCCAAAGCAGTTATATAAGCATAATAACCCATAGCATTTGTAGAAAGCTTTTATAGTTTTCAAAGCATGTTTGCATATATTACCTCAGCTGATCTTCTCAGTAACCTTGAGAGGTAGCTAAGGAAAGGGCGAGAATGCCCATTTTATAGATGGAGTGTTGAGTCTTGGAGCATCCAAGTTCACCTGAAGTCACATGACTAATAAGTGGGATGAGCACTGGGTGTTATTCTGTATGTTGGTAAATTGAACACCAATAAAAATTAATTTATAAAAAAAAAATAAGTGGCAACATCAAACGTGGACAAAGATCCCTGCCTTCCTGGGACAGCTGGGTGGCTCAGTCGGTTAAGCATCTGCCTTCCACTCTGGGATTGAGCCCCACATCAGGCTCCCTGTTCAGCTGGGGAGTCTCCTTCTCTCTTTCTCTTTGTCCCTCCCCATGCTCATGCTCTCTCTCTTGCTCACTTTCCCTCTCTCAAATAAATAAATAAAATCTTAAAAAAAAAAAAGATCTCTGCCTTCCTTATCCCAGGCTCTTCCCACACCATCACACCACATCTTTGTAATCATGTAATCATCAAGCAGAAGTGGCCCGAATACCTACTGGGTGTTAAGTCCTTGAATTCAGAAGTGAATGGCAGAGTCAAGTTCAAGAGAGATGTAGGATCAACTATTTGGGGCCATGAGATAGCTGCTATGGTGAGGAGCGAGGGGAATAAGGAGGAGGGGTGTAGCCCAACTTGATCCAGAGGTTCAGGAAGGCTTCCTGGAGGAGGACACAGAGCAGTCCAGTCTTAGACAACAGCTAGAGGCTGTCCAGACAGGAAGAGGAGTGAGAGGAGTTATAGGCAGCAGGGATAGCAAATAAAAAGCCACAAGTATGTGAACTAGTAGGGCGCATCTATGGGTGCTGCAGGTCATCTGATCTGGCTCCATCCACCCATTCATTCATTCATTCATTCAACATATATTTCCATAGCACCCCCATGCGCCAGACCCCCTATTGGCCACTACGGATAGGTACCTCAGCAAACAAGTAGATGTACTCCCTGAACACATGGAGCTTCCCTTCTAATGGAATCCCATGGACATGGATGGGAAATAGTAGAATGGAGTAGGGAGAGGGCATCATAGACGGCTGGGTATGGAGGGCCTAGATTTTAGCCTATGGGTGCTGGGGAGCCCTGCTGGATTTTAAGGGCAGGATTAGCAAGATGAGGTCTGCATTTCAGAAAGAGTGAGCCACAGCAAAGTTAGAGGATGGACTGAGAGGGTTGTCTGGAATCCAGGAGCCCAGCCAAAATTTCAGCAGCCCAGGAAGCAATAACTGGGTCCTGCGTTATGGTAGTGCAGTAGAGAAAAGGTAAAATACAAGCCGGATGTAGAGACAGCCTTACAGGCCTTGCTGGTTAATTGGACTTGGGGGTGAGGAAGAGGAAGAATGGACAGCCACTCTGAGGGGCTGGCCTGAGTCTCCTGGCAGGTGGTGATGCTATTCCCTAGGACAGGAGTGCAGGAGAACCATCCGGTGGGGCGGGGAACCTGAGGAAGTTTGTTCCCACTGGGACTTGCTAAGTGTCAGGGCACTATGGGTTCCCCTGAAGTCACATTCATCAGATGCTGGGATCGTGAGTCTGGAGCCCAAGAGAGAGCTTGGGGCTGGAGGTGCAGATTGGCCTACAGGTGAAGGTTTAACATTTAGAAGTAAACAGGGCCACCCAGGGTTGGGAGGGTGCCCAGAGGGAGAAGAGACCAGATCCCATTGCAATGAACCCCAAAGTAGTCCAGATTTGTTCTTTGATGTCAGAATCCTGCTTGGCAAAAGTCCGGCCATTAGCCACAGTGAGGAATCATTGGTCCGCAAGAGGGCTTGATTGTTACGGGCTGTGGGGACTCTGGACTAATGTTGCATTTCTCGGGTCTCACTAATCTCTAGTCTGAAGTCACTCATGTGCTTCTCTCCCTCTCATCTCTCCCTTAGGTGTTTACAAAATATGGAAAGTGTTACATGTTTAACTCAGGCGAGGATGGCAAACCTCTGCTCACCACGGTCAAGGGCGGGACAGGCAACGGGCTGGAGATCATGCTGGATATTCAGCAGGATGAGTACCTGCCCATCTGGGGAGAGACAGGTGAGCTGGCCACAGGGACCGGAGCTGTGGGTGATGGCAGAGGGGCACAGGACTCTGGAAGACTGGTTTGCTTCAGGTGGGCTGACTTGGCCCATGCTATGAAGCACAGCTCTCTATCGGGCGGGGGGGGGGTGACAACATACCAGTGAAGGGTAAGGATGTCCCTGCATGGACTCTGGTGCTCTGGGTTTCCTCAGATTTCAGTAGATGGGAGAGGGGCAGATGAGAGGCATATTGGAAGGGGACGGCAGGTGGACTGAGGGCAGTGTTGGGAAGGAGGCATGGAGGAAGGTATGATTGGGCAGGCAGGTGGCTTGTTTTCAGGAGAAGAGGAAGACATGGACAAGCCTCGTCCTCTTCCAGACATCTTAACTATCCCAACCCAGCAAGGAGGCCTAGCAGAAAGGAAAGCAGCTCCTCCACCTGGAGGAAGGTAGAGGAGTTTGCAGGGTTGGCAGGTCAAAGGGCATGGACTCAGGGGCCTGGCACCATGGTTGTGTGAGCCCCTGGGGAGGCCCAAGTGCACAGGCCCCTGAGTTAGTTCGTGCATGAATTTATTCCTATCTATTCAGCAAACTATTCATTAGCCATGTGTACTGTGTTAGGCTTTGCGCCACAATAAAGACATTAAGGTGAAAAAGACCAGGTCCTTGATCACAACCTAGGGGAGGAGACACACAATTACAGCCCAGTGTGACATGAGTGTATCCACACCAGGAGGACAGCAGCCTCTGCCTGGGTGGGAGGGCATTCAGGGAAAGCATCACAGTGCTCCAGGCATTTGAATAGTCTTGGGATGACCCTGGATTATAGGGGGGGGGGGTCCTCACAAGAGGGGTGCAGGAAGGTCAGACAGGAGAAGGTGAGGAAAACAGAAATTGGAGTGATGTAGCCAGTAAGCCCAGGGATGCTGGTGGCGTCTAGAACTCCTGCAGGTGGAGAAAGTAAAGCGGTGCCCAAGAGGGGAACATGGAAACAAAGTAGACCCAAAGCAAGAGTAGTGCTGTGTTCAGGGTATAACAGCTGGGGAGTAGGAAGGAAGCTCAAGGATGGTCCGGGGGAGGGGCTATAGGGGAGGGGGTATGGGAGAGAAAGTTACAGCAGGAAGGAGGCCTTTGGCCCTTGGATTGGAGCTGAGGTGGGTAGAGGCCAAGCAGCCAAGCCCCCACCTCTTGCAACCCCCACGCCATGATTCCTGAAGCTGACCCCTCCAATCCTAAGGTATGGCTCTGACCATACCTAGGCATTTCAGGCTTCTGAGGGCAGCCAAGGCTTCCATCCTGGAGATGACCAACTGTGAATTCCAAGCTCCCACCACCACCACTGTCTCCTTCCCATGTCTCTCACTCGAGCTCCCTGTGGGAAGAAGCGAGCATGGCCACTTCCCTCACTGTGTGGTTAGTCCTCCTGCTCCTGCAACCAAGAAGTAAAATGGCCCCCACATGTGTCACTCCAGCAATGCCTTCAAGCGGCTCACCTCAAGCGGCTCACCTCCAGGCCATCTGCTGCTTGCCGAGGAGATGCTTAGTTGGCTCCATCCACTTTTCTAAATTCAATGCCCCTGCCCTCCAGCAAACAGAGGAACGTCTGGTTTGTGCCAAGCTCTGGCATCCCTGAGGGCTGACCGACAGAGCCTGGCTTTCCAGAACATCCCTGAAACCAGCCTGTGTCCTGTCACCATGGGGGTCTGTAGACAACCCTGAGTCCTAGGAGCTGGGTCTTGGTCCCCAAATAGAGGCTCTGCCTTGTTCTCAGACACCTGAACATATTTGCTTATTGAACTGCCTGTGGCAAAGAGAAGAAATGGACAGTAAAAATGGGTCCTGAGGACCTCATACCCACAGCCCAACTACAGATTAGTTATGTGTTTGCATGGTTACGTTGGATTCCCTGCCCTGTTACCTTGATTTGAGAGGGAAAGTAAATGTATACATATACACAAGCACACACCCACACACGCACACACCCACACAATGCCAGGCACCCTATCACACGCATCTTCACACAGTACAGCTCCCCATGGCGTCTGGCCTTGGGTCTGAGCACTGGCTGTTGGTAAAATGGGATCCAAACCACAGGGCCTGCCCCAGGGAATCTGCATTCTGCCTCCCAAAGCCATGGATGGATGGAGCAGGAAAGCTAAGACCATCTATTCCAGCCAATCCCCTTGTTCCTTGGTGGAGAGAGAACTGAGGCCCAGCAAGGAGTGGTGACATACTAGACATCATGTAAAGTAAAGTCATGGCCAAGACAAGGCTGTACTGACCCAAGCTTCTTGACCACCAGTTAGCACCTATGGACCATAACCAGGATTGAGGATCTGCTGTGTGCCTAACACCATGCAGGGCATGGTCAGGGATGCAGAAGACACCAGACAGGTACCCTGCCTCTCAGGAGCTTACTGTCTCAGTAGACAGCTAAACTAGAGCCCAGAATCCACAAAAGGACAACCTCACTCCTGCTGGCAACTTGAGCTATCCTTATGATCCACCATCTAGTCTCACTTAAACCATTCCCTCTAAAGTTGGGTGGTTAGGAAAGGAGGCTTCTTCTGTGAAGAAGGAGGGGTTCAGAGCAACGGCAGGGGCCAGAAGAAACCAGCTAGAGGAGAAACCGGTCTAGAAATAGAATGTTCTCTATCTGCACTGTCCAATACAGTGGCCACAATTGAGCATTTGAAATGTGGCTCATGGTAATGAGGAATTGAGTTTCTAATATCATGTCATTTTGATTAATTTAAATTGCCACAGGGGCCAGTGGCTACCACACTTGGGGAGCACAACCTGAGACTGCTCTGGTCAGCTTCTTGGATATTTGCCTTTGCTGCCACATCCCACGTTCTTCTGGGACCATAATATTCTCAGCCCTAGCCTTCCCCTCACCAAAGCCATGAGTGGTAGAAAGGGCTCTTTATCCCCACATATCAGGGAAGGAGGCTGAGGTTAGGGGACTTTACCCAGGCCACCCAACCTGATGGCCTGAATCCTTACATCCAGGCTTCCTCATCTCAACTGCACCTTTTTTCAAGCTGAGAAGTCACTGAGCAATGAGCACCTCTTGAACACTCTGGTTGCCTCAAAACCACTTGTTTCTTGGGCTGGTGAGGAGTAAGCCTCATGTGAGTTAAGACATAAGTAAGATGTACACACCTGCTTAAGGATGAGGAGTGGACTCTGGCAGGTGAGGGTTGCCTGTCCATGAGGCCACCTGAGGAGGCATGGCCACATCTTACTGCTTGGTTTTTGCTCCAAAGGACTGTGGGCACAGCCAGGCCTAGTCCTGCTATGGTCCTCAGGAGGGAAGCTGGCTTCTGGACTTCCAAGCCTTATGGCCCCACAGATGCCATCGTGCTTGCTTGGCATTCCCACCTCCTCCCAATTCCCAAGTCTTAGTCAAGGCTACCTGGGTGATGATGGAAAAGAAAGGAATTGAAATATGGCTGTTGAAGAACTAGCCACAGACAGCTTGATGACAGCCAGTATAGTAGGACAGGAAAGTGCCATTATAGAGTCAGACCCAAGATGAAATCCCCAGCTCTTCCTTTACTAGCTATGTGACTGAGGACATATGACGGGCCTCCATGTCCTCATGTGTAATAGATGTCAACAACACAAATAAACCCATCAACTTTTCAGGATGGCTGAAGAAGCACATAAGAGCTCTCTGCAAATTGTAGACAGTGGAAGGGTGATAATGATGACCATGGAGGGGATTGTCCCACTATCCCAGAGCTAGAGCCTATTCTAAACATCCCAACCCTGTAACAAGGGTCCTGAAGTAACTCAACATCTGGAAATCTCATTCTGTTTAAAACAGAGCCTCTGATACACTCTTGCCTTGCCTCATGGACAGCTTCATTGCTCAGAAATTTAAAGAAGCAGTGAGGGAACCACTCCTCTGGGTGTAATTCTGGCTGGCAGGAGAGACCTTTGGTCCCTGAGTGAATTTGGAAAAGGCAACCCTCCTCCTTTAAGTGGACCCAGCCCTGTGGACTCACACTGAGTGAATAGAGATGCTATGAAAATTATCTCCAGGCTGATAATGCCTTACACCAGGACAAACTCTTGGCAAAACATCCTTGTGCAGGGCACCCAGGAAATATACCACTTTAAATAAGGCAGGGTCCGTCACATGTGGACCTCAACAGTATGGATCCTGTGGAATGTCAGGATTGGGGATATTACATGTTACAGGAATAGCAAGGATCTGGGAACCTTGCTTAGAAAAGTGAAACACATTTATTTATTGCAAGAAGTCTTGAATATGCTACATCTTGAATATCTGAATAGGAATATTGCATGCAGCATTTACTTCCCAAATGCCTTCGACCATGGAAACCTTTCTCATGGTTGCTCACAAAATAGAAAGAAGACAGAAAAACTGTCCTAGACTGTAGAAGTGCAGATTTCACGGCCAGCGTTTTCTAAAGGAAATTAAATTGAAGGCAGGTGGGAGGTTGTTAAAAATGAAACTCTGTGTAGATGCCTCTGAGTAACTTCAAAAGATAAAAGAAATAGGCAGTGGGTTATCTAGGTTGCACATGAGAGAAACCAAATTCAAACAAGCTTAGGCATAAAAGGAATTGTATTGCCCCCGGAATCCAAGGCAAGCTTCAACAACTAAACAGCAGGTGAGCAAGGATGCAGCGTCAGAAACAACTGGAACCAAGGGCTCGGGCCCCCTCAGGTCTCTGCTTCTCTCACCTCTCCTCTCTCTGAGTCGCTTTATTCTCTCTCACTACAGACAGGTCTCTTCCACACATATTTTTTTTCACACATGGCTGCCAATAGTTTTATATTTTACACATCCTACCACCAGCAAGAGACTATTCTGAGCCTCTCCTGGATCTCCTATTAAAAAATAAATAAATGAACAGGGAAGGAATCTGTCATTGGTCAGTCAGGTGCTGATGCCTGGACCAATCAGCAGTTACCGGGGGAGTGAGTTCATAGAAGGACCCAAGAGCCCTGAGGAAGCTGAGTGAACAGCAGCTTGGGAAG